TCTGATAGCATGGTAATTTGCATATGGAACTGGATTAGATGTTGATATGCAAACTATTAAAGATTCTTAGAACACTAATATGTTGGTATCCACATATTATATACACTCTCAATTAGATCATGCGAAGACGAATTCATAGAGGCCAAAAATGGTATATGTGAGTTTACATTAATTAGTGATCTGTCATAAACATAAACATTAAAACAGTATACAATACACAAGACCATATATAAGGAGGTAGTAAACATACACAAAGACTTGGGGATATGCATGATAGGAAAGTCATAGAAAAATTTGTCTATGAATTAATGAAAGAAGTCATTTCCTATAGCAGTATGTGTCTGTTTTAGAGAGAATTGAGTAGAGAGGAAGATTCTCTCTACATACTTTTAGGTCGTAAAATGTATCGGGTCTGGCTGAGGTGTCCTGGTTGCCATGGTAACCAGGGGCCTGGGGTCATTCGCAGACATCCTGGTACCCAGTATGTTTATTGGGTGAGGGGTCTGTGAATATTTGTTAATCTAATGAATAATTGATTTGTTAAATCTAATGAGCAATTGTGTGTCTGATTGGTCCAAATGCTACATCAGTTATAGCATTTGCCTAGTATATTTAGGCAAATTCTTTTTGCAAGTCTGTGATATTGTGATTGCATTTACACTTCTGCCACCAAAATGTGGTCTTAACTGGTCTGGAATGCTACTACTTGAAGAAAGAGGGTCAGTGCACAGAATGATAGCAGGTCCTACAGAGCAAGCGATGATCCTCTTCTTCTCTGCATGATCGTTGGCGGAGACTTGAAATGGCATCTCTTCAGAGTTCACTTTTAATCACTGACCTGTTTTCTGCTTGCTTGCTGATCGGCTAAGACCTGAGTTTAGCAGGTCCTGTCATGTGATTCATTTAAATTAATATGTAAATATATGGATGGTCCAATGCTTATGTCCCGAGTATGATTAGGTAGGTGTTAGGCAGATAGATAGATTGATTGATAAATATGGCTAAGACCAAGCTGGAAATGAGAAGTGAGTTTAGCAGCTCCAGTCATGTTATTCAATTAAATTCTTATATTGGTACATAGATATACACTGTTTTTTTTTTTACTGTATTTTGATCAAATTATGCAACCTTGGTAAGCATAAGGAACTTAAAAAAAAATCTTACTGACCCCAAACTTTTGAATGGTAATGTATATATTTTGGAAGCAACTTTTGTCTGGAAAAAAGACATTGTCAGTGAAAGATCTCATCAAACTGTCATAGATGGGTGGATGAGCAATGGAGTGCATGTGTAATCGCCACAGACATCCGATGGAGTTTATTTTTACCCATCCCTAATGAAAGATTGTATTTAGGCCTGATATTTTGAGATTTCTCACAAGTGAATCCAATGTTACCTACAAGAGCGTTGGCAGCTCTGCTGATATCAATTAAAACTATAAAAGAGTGACAACATAAACGCTTTTACTTAGGCGTTGTCATGGGCTGTCCAGTATAAAGTGCACAACAAAGGAGTGGAGTCCAAGAAAGTAATTTTAATAAATCCAAAGGGAGAACAAAACAACCACATAGGCACAAAACAATAGCAGACAAGGAACTGAGGAAAACACAGGGCTTAAATACACGGGGAACGTAATCAAGATGAAAACAGAACAGGTGTGGAGCCGATTAACAACTAAGGGAAAAAACTAGGGAACTAATGCAGGGGAACAGAAATACAGAGAAAAAATACAACGAAAATGGAACAGAACAGAACATAAATGTGACAGGCCTACACCATACAGTGAAATTCTGTTTCTTTTCTTCTTTCTTCTTTTTTTTTTTTCCTGTAGTGAGGTGACACTGATGAGATCTATATTTAGTACAAACTGACTATAGCATGCCCCAAAGCCTTGATAACCATTTTATGGGCACACTGTTTGAAATTACTTCCTCTGCTTTGGGGCACTAAAGGAGTTGATATTAATCAGCATTAACTTTCAATGCAACAGTGGTTCGATGTCTTAGGGCATTAAAGGTACGGTATCTTTGCTGAAGAACTGAGGTCAAAGGATCAATAATGTGACGCTGAGTGATGCTTTATGGGAAGCTGATTAATGGGTAGCAATTGTGCTGATCTCACCTTGGACTGAAGCAGACATGTACTCTGGGAGACAGGACATAATGCTAAATCATACAATATAACCAGGATTTTAGGGTTACATTTGCTTTTTGTTGAATGATCATGTGTCCAATTTATATGTAACCGTCTTTTATAGTTTTCAAATGGCCAATCTTGTGCATAATAGCATTGTGCTGACCTAAATATAACTCGCTGTGCTCTTCGAGATTGAAGGAAGTGTTGAATGAGGTCTGCATATTTGTCACAAAGATGGAGACTAAGGGAAATTGGCTGTTGTAATGTGGAGCATAGAGCAGGGGTGTGCTATATCATGATTTTTAATCGTGGACGATTAAAATGTCTCCATGATTTGCTTTTGAAGAAACATTGTAGTATCGTGCTACAGCGCACATTTTATCGGTTGCAGTTCTGGCGCCTCTGTCTCAATATACTGTATAACGTGACATGCATTCACATCAAATGTTAAGTCAGCGGTAGAGTTATACTCATAGGACACTGCACTTATTCTCAATCACAAAAGTACATTATTTGCATGTGCTTTAAAGCCTTGCTGGTTAAGCATTTCATTCGCATGCTGTTCTGACATGCGCTTTTTCTGAGCACATACACCTGGGGGGCGTGCACACTAGGAAGCCTGTCAATACAGTGCCTGATTACTGGACTAAGTTATCTTTCACGTCTGATTGCGCTAATACTGTCAAAACCATACAAGGTTTACATATAAACACAGTTGGTTATGTCTAAATTGAAAGTAAACAGTTGAGAGAAAAACGGATGCATGCTTGTATATTAGATGTGTTTAATAAGAATCAATGTATAATTTGTACAGTGAAGTGTATATAGTGTTTTATTTTTATAGGCCTATTTGTTCATTTAGTTTCTTGAATGCTACTGCTAACTACACCTACTGTACCTGAAAAATAAAGCACTGTTTGTTTTATTTGTATACTGTATATGTTGTACAGTATATGTTCTTATTTTATAATAACAAAGATAAAATAATAACAAAGATTTTTATGTTCGCCCACTTTGGCCTAAATGTCTGCTATTTTATTATTTTATATTTTGTTACCTTGTAAGGCTTTGTTTTTAAAATAGAGAAATTAGTTTGGCTGTGCTGCTCAGAAAACTTGCAAAATAGTAAAACCAAAATGATGAAGAATTGTGATAAAATCGAGAATCGTGATTTTCCTGAAAAAAATCGTGATGTGATATTTTTGTCATTTCGCCCACCCCTAGCGCAGAGCGTGTTCAGTCTGTTGGAGTGTAAAGGCATGCATGTACATCTGTGGTGCTGCTTTCCAGAGGGGAAGGAGCCCTTCAGGCACACAACAAAGGGCTCTTCGGGCTGGACGATAGAATAGACATACTGAAAGAGATTGATGCAATGGGGGCGTAGTCTTTGGCTCACAGGGACAGTGCTCCTGTCTTGTATTGTTTTTCTTTCTTCCTGTCACCTCCTCCAACTCACCCCCTTTTCTTTTATTTAGATAGATAAAACTGTTTTAATGATCAGTTTCTTAAATCCAACATCTTTATTCATGTTGTGCATCTGTACTGCCGTACCACTAAGAGACTGATTGCTTCATACTCATAGGACACTGCACTTATTCTCAATCACAAAAGTACATTATTTGCATGTGCTTTAAAGCCTTGCCGGTTAAGCATTTAATTTGCATGCTGTTCTGACATGCGCTTTTTCTGAGCACATACACCTGGGGGGCGTGCACACTAGGAAGCCTGTCAATACAGTGCCTGATTACTGGACTAAGTTATCTTTCACGTCTGATTGCGCTAATACTGTCAAAACCAAACAAGGTTTACATATAAACACAGTTGGTTATATCTAAATTGCTTGTATATTAGATGTGTTTAATAAGAATCAATGTATAATTTGTACAGTGAAGTGTATATAGTGTTTTATTTTTATAGGCCTATTTGTTCATTTAGTTTCTTGAATGCTACTGCTAACTACACCTACTGTACCTGAAAAATAAAGCACTGTTTGTTTTATTTGTATACTGTATATGTTGTACAGTATATGTTCTTATTTTATAATAACAAAGATAAAATAATAACAAAGATTTTTATGTTCGCCCACTTTGGCCTAAATGTCTGCTATTTTATTATTTTATATTTTGTTACCTTGTAAGGCTTTGTTTTTAAAATAGAGAAATTAGTTTGGCTGTGCTGCTCAGAAAACTTGCAAAATAGTAAAACCAAAATGATGAAGAATTGTGATAAAATCGAGAATCGTGATTTTCCTGAAAAAAATCGTGATGTGATATTTTTGTCATTTCGCCCACCCCTAGCGCAGAGCGTGTTCAGTCTGTTGGAGTGTAAAGGCATGCATGTACATCTGTGGTGCTGCTTTCCAGAGGGGAAGGAGCCCTTCAGGCACACAACAAAGGGCTCTTCGGGCTGGACGATAAAATAGACATACTGAAAGAGATTGATGCAATGGGGGCGTAGTCTTTGGCTCACAGGGACAGTGCTCCTGTCTTGTATTGTTTTTCTTTCTTCCTGTCACCTCCTCCAACTCACCCCCTTTTCTTTTATTTAGATAGATAAAACTGTTTTAATGATCAGTTTCTTAAATCCAACATCTTTATTCATGTTGTGCATCTGTACTGCCGTACCACTAAGAGACTGATTGCTTCAATCACTACATGAACAAAGTGATTTTGTTTAAATAAAAGTCTGCAAATGTTAGAACCAGAGACATACGTTAGCAGTATTAATTAATAAATACATACAGAAGCAAATTAGCAGACTGATACTATTAGGGAAATGCATATGTACAATATAAAGACTGGTGTATTTTTATCATTTGACATGTTCTTTTATTTCTCATTTTTTAATTCTGATTTTATTGACAGGATTTAAAGAGGGTGCTGTCCTTTCCTCCATATCCAGGGGATTATTTGCACCCAGTGGTGTACGCCTGCACTGCAGTGATGCTGCTCTGCCAGCTGATTTCTATCATGACATACATTGTACACCACAGGTACGTGTTTTGTGTAATTAAGCCAGCCCAGTGGCATAATAAAGTGTAGATCTCAGGGCTCCAGACAAAAAAAAATCAATTAAGGAGCCATTAGCTCTTATAAGAAACAAAATTAGGCGCCAATTAATTTAAGTGCCACAGAATAAACATGTTTTATTTTTTTTATTTTTTTTAACACTTTAACATTTCAGTCATACTGTTAAGTGTTTATGTCTCATCTTTTCTTGTCTTTAGCAGCATTTTAATCCATCTTGTAAATGTCCTGGGAACTAAGGTTCACTTAAAGTGGGAACTAAACATCTTTTCCAACTTGAGAACTATATATAGAGTCACAAAGAATTGTTTATTACACAGAAGTTGTGCCAATATCATGGACCATAACTATGTCAGCATCACTTGGTCATTGAGTGTAGTTTGGGCTCCTCCTCAATGCATCCTATAAATGTTGTCATGTGTCTTGCACACATCCAGTCTGTTTTTCTTCATTAGTAATATGCAATTTTATAGGAGGTGAGCTCTTATAAGAAACAAAATTAGGCGCCAATTAATTTTTTAAGTGCCACAGAATAAACACGTTTTATTTTTTTATTTTTTTTAACACTTTAACATTTCAATCATACTGTTAAGTGTTTATGTCTCATCTTTTCTTGTCTTTAGCAGCATTTTAATCCATCTTGTAAATGTCCTGGGAACTAAGGTTCACTTAAAGTGGGAACTAAACATCTTTTCCAACTTGAGAACTATATATAGAGTCACAAAGAATTGTTTATTACACAGAAGTTGTGCCAATATCATGGACCATAACTATGTCAGCATCACTTGGTCATTGAGTGTAGTTTGGGCTCCTCCTCAATGCATCCTATAAATGTTGTCATGTGTCTTGCACACATCCAGTCTGTTTTTCTTCATTAGTAATATGCAATTTTATAGGAGGTGTTGAATTTTATCTTTAGCTCCTTGCATTCTTTCGTATCATGTAGACAAACAGGTTTATTCAAAATATGAATAAGCAATATAGCGCATAAATTTAGCAAAATGCTCCTCTTTATAGTTATTTTTTTCTAGCTGACTGATGAGCTTATGGACACCGAATGGTTATTCTGAGGAAAATGTTTTGTTATGTGGCATTGTTTACAAGCTTTACACGTTTTCCGCAGTTTGAAACACTGAGTGAGTGATTACATGAGACATTTCAGTAAGCTGTACTCTATCTTATAATATACCTTTTGATTTTCATTCATGTTTATTTCGTACTACAGTAGTAAAGAGAAAGATATGATAGGTTCATATCATAGGTTTTGTTTATTGCTATTATTGGACGACAAATGCGCTACAAATAATATGAAGTTCAAGCATTTACAGAACACAGCATATAGACTAAAGAAGAAGCCATCATATCAGTATCGATTATAAACAAGAATTGTTAACGATATTGCTAATATTCACACAGCTGACAGCTTTACCTGTCGTAGTTTGTTCAAGTTGTGCACGAAATAGACACAGTTTTTCTGCACTTTCAACTGGAGCCTGCTTTTAGCAGGTGTGCCATCAGCGCTCGTGATGGCAGAGATGAGGACTGTTTTTCCACTAAAACTATGATGCGCATCGTTGACGTTTATTACGTCAACATAACAAATGATGTGATTGCAAAACAATCAGGAAAAAAGGCATTACATGCACATTTTTAAGTCATAACATGTAAATTTATATAGTCGCCAGTGGCGATCTCAGCAAAAACTTCACTCACAAATTAATATTTTTGGTCGCAAATGCAGCCGTTTTAGGCGCAGTCTGGAGCTCTGGATCTGAAAAATAAGCTATGTGGTTAATGATTCGTTTATTAGAGTTAGGGATGCACTGATATTGAAATTCTGGCCAGTGTTATATCATATAGACTACTGTTCAAAAGGTTGGGGTTGGCAAGATGTTTTTATTTTTATTTTTTTTTTTTTAAGGTTGTTTATGCTCAACAAGGCTGCATTTATTTGATCAAAAATATAGTAAAAACAGTAATATTGTGAAATAGTATTACAATTTAAAATAACTGCTGTCTGTTTGAATACATTTTAAATATTTATTTTATTGATGGCAAAGCTGAATTTGCAGCTGAATTCAGCAGTCATTACTCCAGTCTTTAGTGTCACATTATCATTCAGAAATTCTTCTAATATGCTAATCAGTGCTCAAGAAATATTTATTATTATTATAAATGACAAAAGCAGTCGTGCAGCTTAATATTTTTGTGGAAACTGTGACACTTTTTATTTAATGATTCTTTAATGAATTTAGAAGAACAGCATTAATTTAAAATAGATTGTTTATTTATTTTTAAATCTTACTGACCCCAACATTAGTGTAGTATGACAGATGGATAAATATAATTTTTATGTATTTGAATGTGAAAAACAAGAAATATAATAAAGGTAGGATTTTTGGGATGCTGCTTATCAGACTGTCCTTAAAAAGGCTTTGGTTACTAGACATTAGTTTTTTGTGTGTGGAATGTGTAATATGCTAATCAGTGCTCAAGAAATATTTATTATTATTATAAATGATAAAAGCAGTCGTGCAGCTTAATATTTTTGTGGAAACTGTGACACTTTTTATTTAATGATTCTTTAATGAATTTAGAAGAACAGCATTAATTTAAAATAGATTTATTTATTTTTAAATCTTACTGACCCCAACATTAGTGTAGTATGACAGATGGATAAATATTATTTTTATGTATTTGAATGTGAAAAACAAGAAATATAATAAAGGTAGGATTTTTGGGATGCTGCTTATCAGACTGTCCTTAAAAAGGCTTTGGTTACTAGACAATAGTTTTTTGTGTGTGGAATGTGTGTATAAAATCAAAAGCTTCATGCAGGACACAGTATGAAAATGATTGCTTTGGTATAAATGGATAAATTAACAAGCCTAATTTTGAGCTGAAATGAATTCATAGTTAAATAGACATCAGTCGATAAATATCTATAGGCCTTATAGATATTTGCATAATATAATATGTTTGTTTTGGTCCAGTGTATTTCTGCAGCTGAATTTCAGCAATGAAATTTACTAGTGAAGTGTTGTATTTTCCATGCCGCCTTTTTGCATTGTTAAACCGTTTGCTTCAGTCAAAAATAGTTTAAAGCTTTCCCCCATTCAAATCATGCCATTTGTAGCACCAGTACTAATACTGGAAGGTCACAGTAGGGAATGTTTTTGGGACAGACTGCCACAATAGTGCTGTGATCCTGAGTCAGACCGCTAATATTTATAGTATCATCACCCCTGACTGTCACAGATATTTCCCGTGAGTAATGCTTGCTCTATGGAGAAGGGGCCACTTCTAACCTTAGAGGGACAGTGCCAAATTTAGTGAGCTGCTCTACTTTGAGACACTTTGCAGACGGGGTCAAAAAGATTCTTTAGTCATATCATTGTGCTTCAAACGCAGTTACTTGTTCCCTTTAGTAGTAAGCTGTTGATGTATCACTCATGGTGCAACTCTCTCTTCATCTGATATGAGTGTGTGTGTGTGTGTGTGTGTCTCTGCAGCATAATCCGAATCAGCAGGAAAGGATGGCACATGCTCCTCAACTTCCTCTTCCACACTGCCATGACGTTTGGGGTGTTTGCAGGAGGCATCAACCAGATCAAGTACCCTGTGATCTGTCAAGTGGTACGTCTCCCAGTTCTCCACCCTGTTTCTTTGGTCTGAGTGATCCAGATTATTCATGCCCTGTCTCAGCTCAGAGTCACTAGCATATGGCCTCTTTGACTCCCGAATTGGCATGGTAGCCATTTACTAAGGCACAGAGGGCTTTGTTTGGCATGACTGCCCAGTGTTGAGAGGTTAATGCACTGGGGTTCTAGGATTGCCATAGCCTTTCAAAGCGTAGCACTTATTCCTTCATCACAGACCATTTCCAGCCTGGACCAGTGAGTTGTATTAATTTGATTATGTTTATAGCTGCACGCTTATTAAACATATATTTTAGTTAATGACAGCAGTTGATTCACTGTCAGTAAAGCTTTAGAATTAAAAGCATCAGATTTATGACTGGAAGCATAATGAGCATAAATTACAGATGCGCCTATACACAGTATATATACACCAGGGCGGTGAAGGTAAAATACTGCATGATATAAATGACTGTCATATTCGTCAACAAAAATGATATATGATCTATCTATCAGTCTATCTGGTTTGTTTGTTCATTTTTAAAACTTTGCTTTTGTAGTTAAAATTAAATTTATCCACCCTTTCCCTAGCGAGACTACTGCGTTTTAAATTATGGGGGGCACTTCCGCATTATTTTCCTCATTATTTTCATTTTTCTTTTGTATTCTGCTGTAACTATATGAAAAAAGACAACATATACTGCATATTAGTGGTCTGCTCTCCCAATTTATTTTATGTTTTCCAATGAATAATTAACTGGAATCCTCTAGAATCTCTTGTTTTTCTCCCAAAATCCTCACTTCTCTTTCCAGGTTTGTATTCACACAGATGCTTTTAAATGTAATTGTCTCCCCTTTTCATTTCTAATCCCTATCAGTTGTGTTTATTGGAATATTTTTTAAAGCAGATAAATACAATATTTGTTATCTATTAAAATGATGGAAATCACTTTGAAATATTATCACTCATTGTTATTACTAATTAACATTTTTGATTAAGGCAAAGTATGTTACATAATATAGACATACAGTGGATATAGAAAAGAATCACCCCCCTTTAAAATAAAATAAAAAAAATAGTTAAAAAAAAAATATTCTGACTTTTGGTGCTATATCTTTCACTTGGATGTTATAAGTTGCACTGAGTAAATACAGATAGATAAAACAAAAACTGTGTCTGTCTTCATTTCAGGCTGCAAAGCAACAAAATGTGATTATTTTAAGGGGGTGGGGGGTGATTCTTTTCTATATCCACTGTATATTACTACAGTGATATTTAACATGTGCATGATATTGCTGCAGAAATGATCAGGCTTTGGGGTTATTCAAGGTATGTTTAAAGTAATTTGTTAATGCTTTTACACTTTTAAATTTCCTTTTAATGATCGATGGTTGAAGGGTAAGTGAAATAATGTCACATCATTATACCCAGTTTTTGAAAATCTTTATTATTGCATTCATAGAGCAAACCTTTCTTCATCGGGTGTAGGAAAATGGTGGATAAGTATTTCTTCGAACTTCAGTTTGTTTCAATTCTACTTTCTTCAAGTTTAAATTGCAAATCTGTTTCCTGTTTGCTTTAAATTAAATTGCTCAAATTATATTTAGAAATTGAATTGGTGTTTAAAAAGGAATTCTCAACTACATTCTGAACTGGTGCACAATACTGGAAAATATTTTTTCCCCAAAATATCATGATCAGTACTGTAATTGTATGTAAACATGGCTGACCGAGAAAGTTTTATTGAAGGAAACTGTAATTAAGTTGCACAATACAAAATGTAGTGTTTACATAGCTGTGCTAATTGTGTATGTGTAACGATATGGATTTTATGGATAAATGTAGATGCTTGATTTTGTTGTGCAGTACAGTGCCCTCTCAAACAAGCAGGCATGGGCCCATGCCCAAGTGGTGGGCATCAGAAGGAGGGAGGCAGAGAGTCATACCATGACAGATGCAGCTAAATTAAATCTGAATCTGAACATTTTGTTGTATTGTGGAGATCAAATGTTCACATTATATCATAAAATATGTATAATGATTAATGTTAAAGGAAACATTTACAACTATAGCACACTTTGTTAGTTTTGAGAATTTGTGGTTTACTTCATATATATTTAATAATTTCTGTAAAAAAAACAAAAAAACTGATACACAAGATACACTACCATTTAAAATTTGGGGGTCAGTAGGATTTTTATTTTCAATTAAAATTAATGTTTATTCAACAAGAATGCATTCATTTGATAAAAAGTGACAGTAAAGGTCACAAAATATTTTTGTTTCAAATAAATGCTGTGAACCTTCTATTCAAAGAATTCTGAGGAAAGAAATACCACAGTTGCCACAAAAATATTAAGCATCACAACTGTTTTCAACATTGATAATTATGAGAAATGTGTCTAGAGCATCAAATCAGTAGAATCAATTAGAATGATTTCTGAAGGATCTTAAGACTGGAGTAATGGCTGCTGAAAATTCAGCTTTGCTGTTACATTTTAAAATATAGTAAAATAGAAAACAGGTATTTAAATTGTAGTAAAATTTGATTTTACTGTTTTATTGTATATTTGATCAAATGAATGCAGCCTTGGTAGGCATAAGAGACTTCTGTGAAAACATTTTAAAAAATCTTAAAAAATAATTAAAAAAAACTACTACCACTTTTGAGTGGTAGTAGTTTGAATCTGTAATAGTCTTGTACTGCTACTAGGTTTTAGTGTTTTTAAGGTCAAGGTGTTTTGACAGAGTGCATTTTTGCTGTTATGGTAGATTAAGTTGATTTTGAGACCTGTATGAAGTATTTTGGTGCTTAACTGCTGTCTCAAGATGGAAAAGACAACTGTGTATGAGTTGTATATTTTGTATTGAGTACACTTGTCTGGTTTCTGAAATTGTTCTGTATTTACGTGACAGTTTGTCCTAACATTTATTTATAAAGTATTTACATTTTCCTAGATATAAACAAAAAAGTGAATTTCACATTCACTTTTTATACATTTACACACTGTTTTTTGAAAAAGCATGACAGACATTCATAGCACATAATTTACATCCAGTGCCCCATATAAATGTCATTTATTTCATATATGAATGGATGGTTGGGTGGGTTTGATGCAGTAAGTGCATTGGAGCAAAGAGGACAACAGCATGACCTCACTGCCTGAGGAGGATTACCTCAAACTCCCCCTCAGTGCATCCTTCCTCACACACCATGGCGGCTACACACACACATACATACACACTGCTGCTTTAGTTTTCTGTGCCAGTCTGCTCTCTATGAGTGAGCTTTTAATGTTTAATGTTTCATCTTGTTCATTGACAGGTTGGCATTATTTTGCACTACTCCTCCCTTTCTAGCATGCTATGGCTGCTCTTCACTGCCAGGAATATTTGTATGGAGGTGTCCAAGGCCCCGCCCATACCTCAGGACCGGGACCTTCCCACCCAACCATGCCCTAAAGCCACAATTTTCAGGTACACAACATGAAGGCCTATGAATTTAATTTTATTAAGGTTGAGAATTCTGATTCAATAGTGGTTCTTATTTAGAATGTAAATAAGAGTATTTAAGGTATTTAGATTGATTTAAAATACATACTCAATAAATGCGACAATAAATACTTTAGATTAATTAAAAAATAATAAAGTAATTTAAAGAGTTAAGTTGATAGATACAACATATACACTACCATTCAAAGGTCGGGGTCAGTAAGATTTTTTTCAATGTTTTTTGAAGTCTTTTATGCTCACCAAAGCAACAATAAATACTTTAGATTAATTAAAAAATAATAAAGTAATTTAAAGAGTTAAGTTGATAGATACAAACATATACACTACCATTCAAAGGTCGGGGTCAGTAAGATTTTTTTCAATGTTTTTTGAAGTCTTTTATGCTCACCAAAGCTGCATTTATTAATCAAACATACAGTAAAATGGGAACATTGTGAAATATTATTACAATTTAAAATAACTGTTTTCTATTTTTATATATATTAAAATTGTATTTATTTCTGTGATGGCAAAGCTCAATTTTCAGCAGCCATTACTTTAGTCTTCAGCGTCTCATGATCCTTCAGAAATCATTCCAATATGCTAATTTATTGCTCAGAAACATTACTCATTGTTATAAATACTGAACACAGTTCTGCACAATTAGGCAGTACTGCTTAATATTTTTGTGGAAATCATGATACTTTTTTTCAGGATTCTTTGAATAGAAGGTTCAAAATAGGGGTGCCCAAACTCGGTCCTGGAGGGCCGGTGTCCTGCAGAGTTTAGCTCCAACTTGCCTCAACACACCTGCCGGGAAGTTTCTAGCATGCCTAGTAAGAGCTTGATTAGCTGGTTCAGGTGTGTTTGATTAGGGTTGGAGAAAAACTCTGCGGGACACCGGCCCTCCAGGACCGAGTTTGGACACCCCTGGTTCAAAAGAACAACATTTATTTGAAATAGAGATATTTTGTAACATTTTAAATGTCTTTACTGTCACTTTTGATTTTATTTCTGAATAAGAGTATTCGTTTTTTTTTTTAATCGACCCCAAACTTTTGACAGTAGTTTATATTTTTTCTTTTAATTGGTATGCAATGTATTTGTTGCTAGGGAAAATAAATTAAATTCTTACAGTTCACATCTCTAGACAAAATAATTTAATTAGATATGAAATTCCTTGTAAGACATAAAGAAAATCTGTTTTTCTGTCTTTTTTTCATCCTCATCTTGTCAGGTTTTATCTGGTCAGTGATGGGATACCTCTAATTATAGTGGGAGTTACGGCTGCTGTTAGCTTGGATAACTACGGTAGCAGAGATGACGCCCCTTAGTAAGTAGGCTATCATATTTACTGGTAGTGTCCAGTTAGCTGTCAGTTGTAATATGTGTACTTTGTTTTTAGTAAGCCAGTAAAAATTACAAATGTCACTGATTCCGGGAAATGTATCTTAATTAAAGCTATAAATTACCATGAGGTCTGTAATTAGATCTAGAGTGGTAACAACACTGTCAGTTTAATCATTGTATCTGTCTGTGTTGCAGCTGTTGGATGGCCTGGGAGCCCAGTCTTGGGGGCTTTTATGGACCCACTGCCTTTTTGGTCTTGGTAATGTGCATCTACTTTCTGTGGATATTCGTGCAGCTAAAGCGGCACCCGGAGCGCAAGTATGAGCTCAAGGCCATGACCGAAGAACAACAGCGTCTAGCCGTAGCTGAAATTGGGCACTGTCACGCCGTCAGCAGAGAGCCAGGTGAGCATGGTGATCACACAGGCTGCACAGCCATCACAGCCTCCATGTTGGCCAACGAACACTCTTTCAAAGCTCAGCTGAGGGCCACTGCCTTTACGCTGTTCCTCTTCCTGGCCACCTGGGTTTTCGGAGCACTGGCCGTATCACAGGGACATTTTCTAGACATGATCTTTAGCTGCCTATATGGAGCGTTTTCAGTCACATTGGGGCTTTTTCTGCTGATTCAGCACTGTGCAAAACGTGATGATGTGTGGCACCGGTGGTGGGCCTGTTGCCCCAACAAACCAAAGGTGGAGGTCAACGGAGAAGCGGCGGGGAACGCTGCCCCCCCTGCTCAAAGTCACAGCCATATGCCATCCCATGGGCAGAACCAAATCCACTGCCAGATCGACTCATCCTGCCTGGGTAAACCTTTGCTTTCCCCGCACCTACACTCCCCTTTGCCGCACTGCAAGTTGGGTACTCTGCCCTCCACCCAGAACCACACGAGCACCTGCTGTGCCACCCTTCACAGTCCCTCCTCTTTGACGACCCACCCGCAGTCCCTCCCTGATGAACTGCCCAGACCAACCCTTCCCCTGCAAAGCTGCCTGAAGGACAGGTCTAAGACTCGCTCCTTCAACCGACCTCGGCCCTGCCTCAGGGACTATTCTTACCACATGACCTCCACCAGCATGGACGGCAGCGTGCACAGCTCCCACCTGGACAGCCCCCACAGTGTGCACCTGGACAACCCTCTCACCTGCCACACGTCTCACTTGGATACTCAACTCTCTTGTCACAGCCCCCACCCGGACAACCAGCTGCGCTGCCCCAGTCCCAGTCCTCACCTCAAGAGTTTGGCCTCACACGGCCTTCACGATAGCCTCTCCTGCCACAGTGCACACTTGGACAGTCAGCTCTCCTTGACGTCACTTTCTTCACCCGCTTCACGGCAAGTGATCCATAATTTCCAAAAGCTCATCATACGCAGGGCAGGAGGATTGGGAAGGCTCAGCCTCAGCTTCTTTGCCCTCCTCAGACATTTCCTGCTTTTTCTGGGCTGATCCCAGCAGAGCAATGGCCCCTGAATCAGACAATGTTAATGAAATAACATCATCCTCCAGCGGCTCACTCTCGTGCACAGCCGACGATAGCGAAAGGGAAACCCCCCTTCAAACTCATCGGCCAGATCCACCTACGATCCCCACGAGCTCATTCCCTTCCGTGCCTCAGCAGCGACGGGTCCTGAATCGCGGGAAGCAGATGGCTGCCCCTCTTTCCTCGAAAAGAGAGACAAACGAGAGCGGAGCTTATTTTTTTGTTTGTTTTTTTTGTTTTTTTTGGAAAACGCTCGCAGTGCACGTCGATTGCCCCCTCGGAGACATCGCGTGCGTGCTCTTTGCCCAAATAACGCATAGATCGTGTGTGTCATCAGATGTTAAACAACGTCAACACGGATGCACACATCCTTAAACGCTTTTATCACTAATGAAATTAAGATGAATCAATGAACATATATGTGAGTTACAGTATATGTGCCAAACCGTATAATAATTAAAATACAACTCTTAAAACTGAGATCTAACCCAAAGTACTGAGTAGTCTGTGATATGTGGATAATGGTGTGTGGTTGTCGCAACAAAGCTGTCATTTTTTTCATCTACAGACATAAAAACAGTAAACAAATAGGCTCCCTGGGTTTCCATGGTGACAAATCATGAAGAGAGGTGCCCAGGCAGAATGCATTTTGAACTGCACATGTAATGTATGCACATACAGTATTTAGTTACTGGTAATGAGGTGCAGATCAGTTCAGGTCAATGGCCTTACAGAACGTATTGGCTTTGCATTGATCAAAAGTCTTAAGTTGCACTAAAGCATTAAAGCATGTTCACCATAATGTAGGAAGCAATCATTTACATGCCTAACGAGATGCATATATTCATGTTATTGACAGGAAAGCATCTTAGCTTACTGGAAACACTCACATTTATTTATTCTGAGCCAAAAACATGGAGGGCTTCACTTTCTACATTAGAAGGATACTCATTAACAGTTTATATCACTTTGCCAACTCGCCTTGCTCACAAAATTTGTCTAATTTAACATAATGGAAGCTCATCTGTCAAAAGAGCAGTGAGTAAATGAAGACAAAAAGGAAAAAACAATGTGTCTGTGCCAACTCATATTGTAAATAATTATCAAGCATGTTGATTCAAAACAAGTAAATCAAGAATAAAATGGAATCTGAACACTAAATCACATAGTAAATTCACTGAAATATGAGGGCAAACGATTTAGAATCAAGAAATGGATCAAATTTTTAAAATGCAACAAGTAAGTCTCGAAAGAGTGTCACTGTGTAACGATTCATATTTGTTCAGTAAAACTGTTGATAGTTGGTCTTGTTTTCATTGAACTTAATATGTGATTTGTTTATTGAATTCTGTATCCTTGATTTACCTGTTTTGAATCAGCACACCCAATTTACAGTAAATTGGCGCAGATGCAACTGTCTTTTTATTAAACTTAATATGTGGTTTGGTGTGCATATTCTATTTTATTCTTGATTTAAATGGAGACAAACACATGATCACAGAAATCTGCCAATAGCTACATGTATCTATGTTCATTTAAGCGGTAATATAATTTTTTTGAGTACCATGTGATCGTATTTGTCTCATTTTGTTCTTAATAATATGTGCCATTATTTAATCAGAATGCCAAACGAAGAGTAACGTGAAACATTTGGAAGATTCCATGTTTATGTTGTTTCTTTGTGAGTTCGGTTTCATTGAAAGCCCTTAAGTGATTTGACTTAGGGGTATCCCTGAGGGGGGAAAAAAATCCCTAAGGCAAGGGATTTCTTTAAGAGCGTTGCAGCAAACGTCTTAACTGTCACCCCTACCTAAGTGTTTATACTAAGCATTTCACGGTATTTTCTGGAAACATACGGCAATGGGCGCCTCACAATAAACAGAACATAATGAACCATAAGCCTACCTTTACTACAACCAAAGTTGAAATATATTTGGTTAAGGAGAATACCAAGATCACAAAAAAAAAAAAAACCGTAAACCAAACTGGACAGAGGACGAAAAGGCTATTCTTTTAGAACATGGGTGTCCAAAGTCTGCCCCGTGCCTTTCAAGTGGCCCGCAGCTTGTATATTGAAATGTGTTATTCATGGGTACCGAAGACGTCACTTCCGCCGCCATTTTTGTGTCCGATATGACAACGAACACAGTACATCTAAATGAGATTTAATAAATAATAATATATTCAAATAATAAATTACCTGTTACTACCATTTCCCACACTGAGCTTTGGACTTGATTGTATTTTTAGGACCCTAACACGCGACCATTAAACAGCGCTGTGAGAGGTTTGGAGCAGAGCCTGGTCTCCGATACGAACCACAGATGTTGCGGTGATTTGTACTAATAGTTTAAAGCCAGATAAAACAGTGCTGACATTCTCAACAACACCGACATAGAAAACAGGAGAAACATTGTGCGACAACAATCCAGTTAGAAGACTTTTCAAACCACAAATCACCAACAAGAGATTTTTGTATTACCACTAAGTGTAACTGGTATTGTGGCAGAAATGTAGGATATTCATATCGAATCGAATGAATCATTTCAAGAAATCTTGCTGTCAAGCACACAGTAGAAGTTATGAAAAAGTATGAAAACGTAGTTGTTCAAGAAAATTTCAAGAAAAGAAACAAGGAACCACCTTATTCTTCAACGCGGAAGTAAGCCTATGGGAGAGACTTCCGGTTCATTAGCCATGGGGAAGAATAACAACGTGCAGTAAACGGTAAAACTGTTTGCACTACAAACCAGTATGTTCATAATTAAGATAATAAATTAAAATAATATGGTAAAACACACCAATTTGCAAATATCAAGCAGCAAAACAAGCTGTTTTGTACAGCTAAAAATAGCTGGACGTGGATGAGCCCGGAAGCCAGACCAATAAAATGTACAAATGGCCACGCCCACTCTTACGGGAAAAATAAGGTGGATAAAAAAGTATCCGGAAAAAACGGTGATAAATTCAAGCTCGTGCCTATTGTATCAAAAAGTATCACGCTTGGATTCGAACAATTTAATAATTGTTTTATTGTGTAAAGGAGGAGGGCCTCCGCCACAAGACCTATCCGAGACAACGAAATTGGTTCAAGACATATTAGGGAAGGATTCTCCTACTCTAGTTGATATTGCAGGTGTTCCTCAAAGCAGTTCGGGAAGCAGGTGAATGAATGCAGATGACAGCTAAGAATGAATAATAATAGTAATAATACTAATAATAAACAACATAAAATCAGCCATCACGTTTGAGTTTAAGATGACTTAAGGGAGCTGTTTTGGTCCCTTAATTTTTTAAAGGAATTTGTAGCAACGCTTAAGGGAACACTTAGATAATTAAGGGGGAATAATTAATGACAGCCTTAAAGTTCCTTAAGTTGACCCTTTTTTTCTTGCAACCCAAGTTTCACTAAGGGTAACTAAGGGATTTCTTATAGCTTAAGGGCTTTCATGCAACCGGGAAGTACAACTACACAATATATACATTTGCATGAAAATAATATTGGCTATTGACTCCGGAGTGTTTCACCAAATTAAAAAATAAATTATAAAAATATGATTTTTTTTTTACTCAAACTGCCCTTCACCAACCAACCCATGCTTCTTCAGATGTGTAGCACATGGATACTATTAAGCCTTCCCTTGAATCCTTGGAGGAAATTAAATTTGTCTAGCTGCCTGATTTACCATGTGTTGTACTTTATCTTTACCCACACGACCAACCTGTCATTTATAGCAAATGAAAGAACTGCAGTAATTTTTTGGTCAGTACATGTGATTTGTGCTCTGACTTGACCCAAAGCTAATCTTTTTTTTTTTTTTAACATTTGTCTCAATTTTCAATAAATGTATTTTATCACCTCATGCTGCATTCCTGTTCTCTTGCTCTCTTTTTAGAGGCTTCACAGTAGTGAGCAAAAATGCAATGCATAATGCCCAAAGTTGCCTAAATGCTTCCCTAACTAGATCTATTTCTCATTCCGTCCATTCGCAGTGTTGTGTGAAGGCCAGTGCGCTTTGTCAAAATCATCCATGAATTCGGCAGGAAGAAAAGGCATCGCCTTTGCCTTGAGTCGGGCGTGTGCTTATCGTGCCTACGTCTCAGCTCTTGCTGACAGTCTTCAGAGCTGCAGGGCCTGGACGATTGTTTATTCATCAGTCCTCCCCGTTCTGCAGCTGATCCCTGCTCATGCATTCTGTTGTCAAGGACTCTGACATCATCTCGGAACTGTAGGAACCAAGAAATGATGAAGAACTGCCAGCATGTCCTTACTGAACCTGTATAGGAGATTTTAGCCTCTCAACTAAACAGCTGTGAGAGGTTACCACTGGTACATGCTTGGAAACTTTTCAATGTTTTATACTGAACATTTGCTGCAACACTTAGTTGCCCACAAGGTTTCTTGAGGTTGTGACTAGTAGACTTCTTGAAACAGCAAAAACCCTTTATGTTTAATTAAAGAGGACTTAAGTCTACTTAAAAACGTAAGAATTCAAACGAAGAAGAAAAGGAGAAGAATTAAGGGGCAAATGTAGGTCATTCGTTAAAGTGGAAGACAAACAGTAAAATGCTGCGAAGCTACACATTGAATTCACACGGCTAAATGAGATTTAAGCAATGCTGCGTTCACTGAAAAACCCATTGGGTGTTGTCGTTAAAATGTTCTGTGGAGACGAGCACATTCGCTTCCAATCGCATCAGAACTGCAGGGGTGCTGCTCCTCACTTCCATCTGCTGGCGGAGCACTCTCAGGCAGATTACAGGCTTGATAGGCTCAGATCAGGTAGTTTCTTTTTGTCACGGGATGACATGCTGTCTGAGCTGATGGGTTTGATCAGCCTGCATTTTGTCCTAAAACTGTGGCAGTGTTAATCTTGTACTATTTTTTGTAACTATAAGGAGGACAAAAGATGTGCAACGTGGCGATAATTTAACGATTTTAATGATTTAATGCAAGAGATTAATCACATATGAGCTCTTTGCCTAACACGGACTAAAATGAATAATTAAAACATAAAGTATTCCCAACATTGTTAGTGCATTTAGAGGTCTAGCGTCCCCCGCTTTTTGATGAAAACCTGAAAACTGAATTTGCTTAGCTGTGGGCGGGACTAAAGTGCAAACGCAAATCCCATTGGCTAGTGGTTACCTTTAACCATTTAACGCATTAGTGCACCAGACACTACTGAGCAGCTGAATGATGCCTACCTGTTGGAAAACGTGAGCAAAAAGATTAGACTTGATTAGATTGACCATAATGATGTTAAATAGATTTTACATTTTACATTTAAGTAATGAAATGTAATGAAATTAAAATGGACGATTTTTATGCAGTGTTGCACTATTTATAATAAATAATTTATCTGTGCACATCATTACTTTTTTACATTCATATGACCTAATCTTTAAGCAAAAATATTAATGCCTCCTCCCACTTGTAATAACATCTACTAATAACATGTAATAACATCTACAGGCTACTCCCTGATGTTCTGGTTTTGGTTTGAGTGGTAATGGACAGAATACACAACTCAAAGTCAGATACTATCATACTATCAGAGAGAGTGGGAGGAGGAGGCAGCAATGAAAATGAGTTACCGAAGAGGAAGGAGGATAAATAGATCCATAGACGGGGGACGGCACAGACAGGAATAGAACAGCGTGGTGAGCTGGATACGTGGACAGGTGTCTTATAAATAGCCTCCTTTGCTTAAAATTGAAGGATGGTTCTTTTTTAAGCGTTTTGGAATTCTTGGCCATATGATGTCAAATGTGGTGTAAGATATATATAGAGGTGACTGTATAACAATAGCTTAATCAGTATTGTCCTCTTCTTTTTTCTTCCTTTTCACTTTGTGTGTTAATGCTTCATTTCTCACGAAATGGGCTGCCATTCCTCCTTCCCGCAGGCCACTTCATGGCCCGAACCACTTCAATAACAGGAAGTCAGAGGCAGTCTGCAGACAGCTCTGGTACAAGCCTGACCTATTTAAATTCTGTTAAAGCAGGCGGACCTGTCTCTCTCACTTTACTGTTCAGTGAGGGTCCATGCATTTTCTGGAACCCAGCATTGAATACCAGCAGCACATAAAATCAATCGGATGATCCCAAACTGGGATCTGTTTGATTGTGGGTATCATGTGGCCACAAGTCTCCCCAGCTACATAGCCCCATTTATGCATCTCAAATATCCTCGTAGTGACAAAGGATAATGACTCACGGCAAATCATAGCCTGTTAGAGATTTTGCCCTCATTATCATGACAGAGCCTTCATGAGAATGAAGGTGAAATTAGAGCGTGTATGCGACAGCATTTAAAATTGGATAATAAATACATTAATTTGGAGTGTCATGTACTGTTAAACTTTATACATGTATAGATTCTTTTGTTTCATTTGATACATAACATCCACACTAGCCTAACTCTGTAGTACTGGATTCACAAAAGACTGCACAAAATAGGCATTGGAATATATGAAAATGAAAAGGCCCAGAAATTTGATGGAACAATAAGAGTTTATTAGTTTATTAGAAGAGGAATGAAGAAACCCTTCCTTATACCTCTGTTTTTTTCCTCCAAATAAACATTTTTTTTCTATCATTAATTTGTTTAACTGATACATGCCTTGCTTAATACTTGCTTATTTACATGTATTATACTTGTACTTGTACATTTATTATATTGTATTATTTACTTGTATATTTATTAATGCCATTCTAGATGTATATTTTATTCACAAGAAAAAAAGGCAAATTTTATATTTTAAATTAATTAAAAAATGTGTCATTACAGTATATGATGGGCAAAACATATTTTTGTATGTTACCTTTAGCTTTTTTCATAATTTATTTTGTGTTTCATTATAGTTTGACTTCTTACATTTTGATGAAAAGCCTATATTAGTTGTTTTAATGGCAGGTTTCCATTGTGACAACTTACCCATATTGTGACAACATGGTCAACATGATTTTCTTCTTCTTCTTCTTCTTCTTCTTCTGCAATAATTTGATTACCACAACAAACTGAAACACAAATTTTTGTTTAGGTTATGTTACTATACTGTGGCCGACAAATATGAGAAAATTAAAATGACTAGCGGATTTACAACATGAATTGATGCAATAAAAGTTATCTGATGCAATAAAAGAAGCTGCTGTCCTTATAGGGAGATTGTGAGAGATTGGGGTTGGGGAGTAACGAAATACATGTTACGTCATTATGTATTTAAAATATGAGTAAAATATGAGTAACTGTATTTCGTTATAGTTACATTTTAAATGGGTGGTAATCAAATTACAGTTACATCCGAAAAGTATTTTAGAATATCAAAATGATAACTTTGAATTTAAATGTCATTTATTTCATTTAATATTAATGTCAATATTTTAACCAATGAGGCAACTGGTGATTCTCTGACTCTGACTGTGTGCAGCCTGTTCAATTAGCAACCTGCAGAGTTCAGAGTCAGGTCTCAAAAAAAAAATTTATATATATATATTGCAGGAGAAAATCAGAAAGCCAAGCACGTAATGTGCTTTTGTCATGGAAATACAAAGACAATTTTACTTAGAAATGTGAAAAAAAAAAAAAAAAAGTAACATCACAGTGCAATGCAATTTTGTTTTCTGCAACAAAATGGCTTCAAAGAAACATCTAACCTTAAAAAGTAATCTTAAAGTAAGTTGTTCTCAATCTTGAAAACCAGGGCTGCCAACAATGTTCTGACACCACACTGCCATTTTCTCATGCAGTGCCAGTGAGGTTTGTCTGTATGAGTTCTTGTTTTTCTGTATTTATAACATGGTATAGTGCTGTTTTCCTGTATATTAGCATGATTGCAAATGTAATACTGATTTTATGCAATTCAAAAACATGACATTAAGTGACTTACAGAAGTGACATTAAATGACAATTAATAGTATTGTCTGATCTGTTCTATATTGCCAAGAAAAATAGTTCCAAATCCAGAGTGTCTATTTACACTAAGTGCAAGTAGCCCACCTTGGTGGCAGAGGCTATTTAGAGTAACTGCACCCACTAATGTCTAGTTTCAATAGACATAAATACAAAAGATGCATATTTATCAATAGCAACAGTGGTGTAGTGGATAAGACACGTGATAAGAACTTCTGATATGATGAGCCTAAGTTCAAATCTGCCTTTTGTCAGACACGTTCGTCTCCCTTTCCTCTATAGATCTAGAGCTGATGATCTAGCTCACGAGCTGTTAGCATGGAGCAGGCGCCACTTTCTGTCATTATGGGTGACCCAGGTCCCGGGCATTCTGACCTTTTGTCGAAGGGGAACCCACTCTACGGAGAATGACGCCTCCACCCTCAGATAGTGTGTCTGCTGTGGAAGAGGTTTGGTCAGGTGGCTGTCAATCTCTTCACCTCGTGCAAAAACGCCCATTGTCCTATATTCTTCTCGCTACAGGATGAGGATGATCGCACCCAGATGGCCCAAATCTCCATGGCTGGCAGAGATAATCCCTCTTCTGTATGCCCAGCCGTGGCCCCTCCCGTTACGCACGGACCTCCAGTCCCAAGTGAACGGGGAAATCTACCATCCTCACCCGGACAGGCCCGTGAGAGGGTAAAATTAAACACATTGGGGCTCCCCCTACATATTGTTGCTACTGTTCAGAATGCTAGAGCCTCTTCTACATGCTCCCTTTAATATTGTAAGTGGCGTGTGTTTGAGGAGTGGTGCGAGGGGCGCCAGCTGATATCATATCAGTGCTCAGTCGCTGACATTTCAGGTTTTTTGCAAGACTTTATTCATGGTGATGAGATAAGGTCTTTCTCAGGCCTAACCCGGCCTTTATGCCAAAATGCTTCCGAGCTTTCACTTGTGACTTGCTTGAGCTTTCTGCTTTTCACCCTCTTCCATTCTCCTCTGTGGGGGATCAGAGGCTAAATGCTTTATGTCCTGTTCGTGCCCTGCAAGTTTACATTGACAGGACTGGCTCTTTCTGGAGGCGTGATCAGCTCTTAGTTTCTTGGGCAACGCCTCTCTCATTGGCTCATGGAAGCCATCTCTTTGGCATATGAATCTAAGGGAGTGCGGCCACCAGGGGGCCTCAGAGCAGACTCCACTAGGGGCATGGTGGCATCGTGGGCTCTGTTTTCTCAAGGGGTTTCCTTGCAGGACATTTGTGCCGCTGGGCCTCACCACATACATTTGTCAGATACTACCAGCTTGATGTTACCCAGACCCTGGTAGCTCATTCAATAGAGATCCACCAAGTTGCCCCGCTTTGCTGCACGAGAAGCAAATATGCTCACTGAGAAGGTAGCGCGTGCAGGGGCTTTATGTGACCGGTTAAGGGCCGGTCCCTTACCTGCCATTGGGCACACGCTCCTGTCTGTCAAGCCAGACTTGGTGCAACTGGATGCTTAGAGGTCAGGCACGGATGCCCTTCCCATAGGTGTATCTCTCAGCTCATTGGGCCTCATTCATGAAACATTAGTAAATATAGGAGTAAATTCTGAGTAATTTGCTCATAAAACGGACCTTCCCGAAAACTCTCCTCCGGATTCACAAACACTTCGTACACATCAGATTTGATAGTTAAACATGTGTATGTTAATGAATTCCAATCATTCGTAAATAGGGCGCTCGTGCACGCTCATTCACAATTAGCATAATCCCCGCCTCAAAAACAAAACAAAAATAAATTCCGGCCCAACGAATTTGTAAAATATTATAATGTCAGTGCATCAAATTCAGTGTCATCAGTTTGCTAAAATGAACACAGAACGTTTTACGCACCATTTACACGTTGCAGGGAGCAGGTGTAAAGTTCTTTCCTACCAACTAACATTTTGAAAATACGAAAATTTTCATGAATTCGAATGTTTACGTCAGAACGGCTTTACGAATGATTTACACAAAAATTCGTTCTGCTGGTGTTTCATGAATGAGGCCCATTGTTTCAGAGAACCGAGCTTGCGAACAAGTTACCTATGTTTTTTTTTTTATCAGGTATAGTGACAGGGTTAGGGGTAGGTGTCGGGAGGGCTTTATTGTCTCAATAAGGCGGCACCCATTAATAATTTTAATATTATAATTTACACTCAATATGTTATTACAGCATACCGTTTTATAATGTACTACAACACTGAGGTGCAAATATCTGCGAAATATTGAACGAATAGAATGATTCCACAACTTCTTCATTAAGACAGTGATTTGCCCCTACTGGCAGTTTTAGTTTCATAAACAATCCCCCACTCCCACTCATCATTTCATATTTCAATGTTCAAAAATGTTATATTTAAAACATTAATCTCATAAGCAGCCATTTTTAGAGATGGTTCTGTGAATATCTAACTGCCTCCTAATTAAAATAAATAAATAAATGAAATTAATTCTATGCCTTTTCTATTCTCTTATTATCATTTATCTCTTCCTGTCCTAGCTTTTACTATTTTGAACGATGACTGAAACCTTGTATAACGGGCACTCCTCATATTTATTACCATCTAATAATAAATTGCTTGTTGTATTCCTCAACTGTAAGTCGCTTTGGATAAAAGCATCTGTCAAATGAATAAATGTAACATAAAAACGAGACATCAAATTTAATATGCCCCTTACCTTAAATAAAGTATTTAGATTAAGTTACTGAGTACTTGAGTACTAAGTTACTTGAGTAATCTAACGAAATACGTTACAAAATACTTTTTAAAGCATGTATTTTGTAATATGTTGTGAAATACATTTTAAAGGAACCTTCCCAACCCTGATTAGCTACAATACACACAGTTCGGCATAAAGATCTCTGAAATGGTTCATCAGTTGTACATCTGCAACTGTTGAATATTTGCAAATGAAGTGAATGATTTAAACTATTCGATTAATAATCTCAGACCACACAGCAAAAAAGCATTGATAAACATTTGCTCTATTATGAATTCCTTATAACTGTTGCTGACTCCACAAAAATGTATAGAATAAATTTCTTGCCAGAGGAAAAACACCCCTCTGTTTGCATCATACTGTTGAATACCAAGTCAATATTATGCCAATGTGCCAGTAAAATACCCTTTGCATGACATACAGTACTATATTACTAACCTAATGCAATACTGCCATCTAGAGGCGAGTGCTCCCATTGCAAGATTTCCCTGCAAGATTTAAACTAACATAAATATAAAAACTATAAGTGCCAACCTCAGAAGCGATAAAAAATGTCAAACATTTTTGCAGTCAAAAAATAAAAAGTAATATCTCTTTCAAAGGTATTTACATTTATTAAAGAAGGAACTGCAAGGAGGTAAATACAGTACAATATAGTGTCAACCTCGTGCATCACATTTTAGGCACTTAGCATAAAAAAATAAACTTGTCTCTCAGATCCCATTAAAACCTGTGTGACATGGGCATTACAACAAGGAAGGACATTTTTGCTTAATGACAAACATTATTTGGTTGACGAGTGTCTGAGTGAGGACTATATTTCTGCTCATTCATGGTGTAACTTGTTTCAAGTTGGGCCATTTGAGCTGAATATTAGTCAACTGTTATGGTTTGCATAAACAACTCCACTACTTCATGATTATCATGCCACAAGGAGGGTGACAAACATACAGAGTGAATATTGAAAATAAAACTTTATAGGTCAACAACATTCTCATGTGTTAGAAACAAAGTTAACTGACCAAACATGGGAAAGTAAAGCTTCAGAAAAAAACAAAACACTTATTTATTGTGAGAACTATAAAATACTGAACACTAGCTACTTAAAAAAAGGATGGATTATTACCTCTGCCATCAAAGCTTCTTTCAAGCACAATAGACAAAGACCAATTAATGGACAGACAAATGAATACATTTGTCCTAACAATTAGAAAGATCTCTCAGGGAGACTTAAGTGTGGCAGATCGGAGCACTTGTGAGGAGTTTGTGTAGATTAGATTTAAAGAGAAATTCTATAAAAGAAACTCAAAAATCAGCAGACTCGCATAGATACAAAAGCGCCATTGAGCACACCATCAGTTCTTGACAGTTCTGACATTTAAAACAATAGTTGCATACAATTTCTAGTAAACCGTGCTTTTAATGCAAAAGATATACTGAATGTTATAACTCTGCGAAAACAGGTGACCATCTCAATTGTGTTTTGATTTGTGTTTTAAACTATCAATTTGTGATGTAAACTATCAACCAATTGTTTCTATGGAACATAAACCCATACTGAAAAGGCTTGACATTCGTACTATCAATGGGAAAACAGTATCTAAAAATAGTTTGAAGGAAGTCTCTACTCCTAACTGTATGGTTTACAAATCAGTAGAAAACAAAAATCAATGTAGCGAGGATGAATGGTCACAACTTAAACTTTGAACTCTGCTAAGCACACAAGAATCTTACAAATCTGGACTTTACCATTAAAAACAGACTCTCTTGTTAAAACTTCGAGGCAGAATGAGGCACTCAAGTATTACAGAAAATGAAAATACAGTTAGTGTTTGGTTGGCTTTTTGAGGTTTGTTGGCTTGCATCTCAATACATCCTGTTTTATCTTTTTTTTTTAGTAAAGCATAATAGTACATTTACAGGTGCATTACTTCATTTCATATAAAGAAAAAGGACAACAAAAAGCACCAAAGCCATAACTAACAGATGTAGGTTCAGAATATCTTTACAGAGAAAAATTCCAACTATTATAAAGTCCATTATTGCTACTGAAATGACACCGGGTCTGATTTGACATAATGAAGGGAGATGCATGGTACCAGCGAAACATGAAACTGACCCTAAGAAACAATATGAGAACAAATACAGCGTATTAATGACAAACCACCTCAAAGGACACATCATTTTAACAGGATGGTTTCCACAGGAACCATTTGGGCTTGTTATTAGGCAATATCATGTCTGTCACAATTCCTAAATAATACTTAAAGTGATAGTTCACCCCAAAATGAAAATTCTGTCATTCATCATTTACTCACCCTCATGTCTTGTCAAACCTGTAGGACTTTCTTTGTTCTGTGGAACACAAAATGTCTGTGTTTTTTGTCCATAGAATGAAAGTCAGTGGGGTCTACTGTTGTTTTGGACCCCATTGACTTTATTGCATGAACGAAAACTAGTGATACGTTCTTCAGAATGTTTTTTGTGTTTCACAGAAGAAAAAGGTGTACAGGTTTAGAACTACATGAGGGTGAGAAAATTAACATTTCATTTTTGGGTGAACTATCCCTTTAAAATTTGCATATTTATTTATATTTCCACAATTTCTAAGCCCCAAAGGACATTAATTGGAAATCAAAATTGGTTCAGTGATGTAGGTATGACATACGTAGCCAACTTAAACTATCAAACACAGCTTCAGAATGAAAGATAATTATTTATGAACTGGACCATTCATTCATTCAAAAATTATGGAATTACCTGAGAAATCGATTCAATTGTCTGCATTAAAAGAGGTCTATAAGAGACAGCACCATCTTATACCAGTGATCTTTCTGCTTGCACCATAAACATACAGTGAGTCCAGTTTTCACAGTTCCGTTCTATACATACTCAAGGGTTTTGATTTAAATATACAAGGGTGAAAATTATTTACATACAAACTCATTTCAGGTACCAAACTCTTCTCTATTACACTATACCCTTTAAAAGCTTCTGAAGAAAATTCTATGGAAAAATATTATCGACAGGTTAACTTCATGTTACTGTACTATTAAAAAAGAAAAGATTACAAAGAATCCGTTTTCTACAATGAAAGATGGCATTTGACCCAATCCAGGGGCTGTGTACTTGCATTAGATCAGCTTATTCCAGTCTCTTGTTGCCTCCATTAGATGCCGTTGACCATGGCCGATCCAGTGCTCTTGGTTGTTGAAAACTCGGCCACAAAACCAGCAACAAAATGTTGACTGCTGCTCTGAACCAGAAGATGAGGACCTCACCACCTCGTATTTATTTCTGCTAGTCTTTTTTAACTTCAGTTTCAGAATTAATCTCTCTTGAACTGCACCTCCTACTGCCCTTAATCTTTCACCCCCACTGACATTGGAAGCATTCTGCTTTGAAAGTGTTCTTGGAGACTCAGAGAGGGCTTTAACAGTATTTTGGGACAGTGCCACTTTGAGAACTTCACCTTTGTATTTGTTCACTGACCTCATGATGCTAGCAACTTCAGGAATGTCTGCATCCGGATGGTTCAGCACAACCACAGGCTGGTTTCGACGGGGACATTTGATTTCTTGAAGTGGACTAAAGGGACAGAGTCTCAGCGTTCTCACAACATCTTTTGCAACAGGCTCCCAAATTGAGGTAGTGTCTTTCTCAGCCGACAACTTGCTTGAGATTCTCCTCATTTTGGAGGAGCTCTCCAGCATTTTCTCAAACAAAGCCCTTCGCCTCCGTTTCCTTTGGCTTCGTGGACGGATGGAACAGGGAACAAGCGGCAACTTCTGTAATGCTACATCATGATCAGCCCTGCTTTTGATTTGAACGTTGGACTGGGGTAGAATATGTTTAAGCTGGGATGCGGGGATGAGTTTATGAATGAGACCTTGTGAATTAGTAGAGGTTTGAAGACCTGACGACACACTGGTTAAAGATTTATTTGAGGACATTAACAAACAAGGTGACTGTAAAGAGCTTGTAGCAAGGTATACTGACTTTTTGGCTGTGGTGTATGGAGCAGTGGAGAGAAATCTGGTGCCATTGGGACCTCTAACTATCTTAAGGAAAACCCTGTTTTTGACACCCTCGTTTACCCTGCCCTGGTTCAAAGTTTTCCTGTCTGAATTGTTCAAAAGTATACCTGACTTAGCAGGAGAAATGTATCTAACCAAGTAAGCTTGTCTCCCAGTCTGCAAGGGACTGGTTTTATCTGCTGCATTCACAGGCATGGCCAATACAGGACGAGTTGCAAGCACAGTCTTAGAATTTGAACCACTTGACTCACTACTAACAGGGGTAACAGGGATTGGTCTCTGAACTAAGTAACAAGTCTGTGGCACGTTGGTCACCTGTTCTCCGGACAAGGACTTGACAGCACCTGATAAGAGAAGAGATGTTTTAAGAGCAGAAGCACTGACGAAGTAGCGGTTTCCACTGCCACTTGGTGCCATCTGGGCAGATGCTTGATCTTTAGTTTCAAGATTTGAACTTTGTGCAGACATGCCAATTCTGCCTCCATTTAAAGTGAGAGCTACTCCCGTAGCCTTGCTGGCCATCTCAATCCCGGGTTTCACGTAAGACACATTAATTTTGGGAGAACAGGATTTAGTAATTAGCTTGAACCCGGCTCCACTTTTCAACTGAACTGGTACAGCATATGGAGTGTCTGTAGTTTGAAGGAACATCTGCTGTTTTCCTTCAGGTGTCTGCAAGATTCGAAGTGTGGTTTTGGTCGGCCTAACAGTTTCCTGTACTGTAGCCGAAGACCTCTTTCTTTCTTTTTCAAGTTGC